TCAACGGACGGTTGCCCCGCCATCGTCCCTGTCCACTTCACAGCCTGTCCAGGCCAGAAGCCACACCGGTGCACGTCCACAGGCATCGTCAACCAACCGCCACACCATCTCCGAGTTCTCCTCGCACCGCTCCCAGTCCGACGAGCAAACGTCGTCACAGAGCACGGCACACCTCCTACCCAAATTTGGCAGGTAAGGACGTTAACAGTGCTATGGTTATTCGGCCAATACAAGTAGTTGTACTCACAGCTGAAGGTCTTGCACTTTAGTACCCCACCCCCAACTTGATTCACATGGTTTGCAGAACAAGGCTATGGTTCTTATACTGGACCTTGGCCTGAGAAAGGCTCCCTGGAAACTGGTTTAGGGTGCATTTGATTGGTCTGATCTGGAACGGGGTCGTTAAGAGCAGCGGTGTTCGATCGGGCTGTACTGGTTCTGGAATGTTCAGAACATGTTCCGGGCTGGCGTAGCCAGAGCAAGTTGTAAACCCCGATGAAAACTGCAGCGTGCAGATCTATGCACTATGTAGGGTGAGAATTACTGCTGTACCGTTTCATTGGGAACTGCTGTTCCAACTGCTCCACGTCAGGCGAAATTACTGGTCAGTCGGCGACACGCATTTTTCACAAAAATTTGTGTTTCACCTGCTGGGAGAGTATGCATGTACTCGAGTCTCATCCTGAGCACGTTTTTTCTTCTTTTTTTCAGCTCCAGTATAGCTGTATTTTTCATTGCAAAGCCGTCCTTGATTGTTGTGTTCGTTGTTCAAACGAAGTGGACATTCAATCATGAAGGCAGAGGACATAGGAGCCTGATTGGAGTTTCTCGTGGCATAGGACGGCCACACAGAGACACTTTGGGATTTTCTGAATATAAAATACCGTACGCACGATGCTGAGATCAATTTGTGCGATATCAAATTGTTTGTGATCTACCACATCGAGCAGAACGGGATCCAAACACAAGCTTACCGACGGTTAGGCTGCCGACCTGACTGGACAAAATGATCCCTGGCTTCACCAGACGCCAGAAGTCAGACACCATGTCCTTTGCCGCGACGTCCATCTCCAAAAAGAACTCCATCTTCGTCGTGAAAAGGCTTGAAATACTCAATACTCAACCGAGATTCGCGGACTCGCGCTTTCTCGGATCGATTAATTTCCTGTTGGAACAGTTGCAGGGCAGCTTCCCCCCACTGTTTCAACAGGCGATGGCTCCAAAGCATGCCTGGAACAAGCCATATCGAGGTTGCAAGCCACCCCTCTCAGCAAAATTTCAATGGTGGAAGATATACTATGAAGAGAATTTCAAAAAGTATGTTTCGCGGAGCGATCGCTCAACCTACGTCATTCAAACTTTGCAGGATGGTTCAGACGTACATGCTAGGCATGGAACCACAGGCGATGATGCCATAGCTGACACACAGAGTAACACACACAGCAGATTCGTGCGCACAGATACCAAATTAGTGGACGTCGTCATCTTCTTCCCGCTGATCTCGAATGTACTATGACGTGCTATTTCGCCTGACGGAGAATCTGATCCGAATCTGGACGAACGTGCCCTTAGGTTCAGCAATAGAATGCTGATAATTATTATAAAATTACTATCGTTAGTGATGTGTAACACTGTCAACATACACACATAACAATCATTTCTATAATAATAATTATACCGCTTGCATGTCTTTATTTCTATACATTTCCTCATATAATTTCAACCTGGCCTTCATCTTTCTGTGAGAACCGGACCTATGGGACGGTGAGAAGGCAATCATGCCTGTGCAATTGGTGAAGTAAAATAAAAGTCAACAACAACAGCAGCAACGACGCTCTTCGTCTAAGGCCGCGGTCACACCAAACAAGCCGTTTCCCGCTTGCGCTGAAAGTGGCTTGTGCTGAATGGGGCGGTTGGTCACACCACTTCGCGAAATCGGCTGGATTTTTTTGTGTGCTAGAGTTTTTTTCTTCCCGCTCATTTTTGAATATGATTTTCTCTTGTTTTCCCGTCCGCCTTTTCCAGCACACTTCTTCAGTTCGTCCAAGATCCACGCTCTCTTTCTGGTATTTTTTTCATAGTGGTCTCATACTTGGTTTTTGTTTCAAACCAAAACTCCAGTAGTCGCCGCTCCAGTGCTACTGTCCAGGATTCCATGATGACCGACAAAAAGGCAAGGAGAGAAGTTTCACCAACAACGAAAGCCGGAAGGTGGCAGAACACGATGCAAGCTGGAAGATCCTGGCGAGCTGAAATTCGCTCCTCAAGGCGCTCGACTCGAGCCAGCAGGGGGTGCAGGGCCGTCGACACGGCCGCCGTAACGGAACGTGGATTTAGGCCAGTTGTGAGTAAGCTGGCCGGCTGGGGAACGGCGGGCGGGATATCGTCCTGCTCCGCACAGGCATTGCCGGAACGATCCGCACGGGCATTGCCGGAACGATCGGCCGCATGGTCCGCAGGGCTAGGGGCTCGATTTGGAGTGTCGGCATACGGGGACGACGAGGCGCGCCTGCGACTGGAATGCCTGGGCCCGGGAGCCGACTGCTTACGTGCACGGGGCATCTCCGTGAGCTGTGGTAAACCTTGAGATCGATTGAGGTTGAGAAAGCAATCCACTGCCAATGCGGACAAAGCAAGAACTGAACGAGTTTATTTTTCCCGCCACTGCGCCAGAATGGCTGAAAGTGGCTGAATCCATTCAGCGCTCCCATTCAGCGCTTTGAAAACGGCTGACTGCTGAAAAAGGCTGAAGCCGAAAATTCAGCCGTTTCCGTAGCGACGATGACGTCAAAAAGCGCTTTTTTCCGCTGAATGGCTGAATCGCGCTTGGTGTGACCGCGGCCTAAGGAAGGATTTTAGTTTTCAGGCTTCACACGCGTCGGTGCATGCTTTGCTTTTTCAAAAGTTGTTTCTTCTTTGTTGCTTGTGTACTACTTCAGGCACTTTAGCACGTCCAACGCTGCAACGTCACCGGGCACGAGCAGGGCAGTCACTCCGGGCTCGCCGTCCATGACTGCGAACATTGGCACCAGCCCGGGCCTCAACCACTGGAAGAAGCTGTCCTCGACCGTCCAGGCCGCTTCCAAGTTCCAGGTGAAGAGCAAGCGCGGCGCCCTGCTGCAGTGGTGTAAGCAGCACTTGAACTGCGAGGTAAGACCACCGACAACAAAATAATAGTATTATTGTTACGATTGAGTGGGATTTAATTAAACTTCGATAAGGCCCTCGGCGGGAAAGTCGCTGATTGGTCAGCTCCTAGGCAACGGGGTTGACCTCGTTCTAATAATTTTTGTCTCCTCCTTGCCTTTCCCTCTGCATTTTTCATGCAGTGGCTAACTTTTTGTTTGCAATTATTGATAGAAACACAACCAATCGACAACCAACGGGCACAGATTCGTTTTGACAGAAACGTTTTTTTCTCTCCACAATTTGTCAGTGACTACTTCTGGTAGATGACAGAGAATGAACGAAGCAGCTCACTTTTTGTTTGTCTTTAGGTTTGCCCGCGGGTGTGCATATCACTGTCTGTGTTCTCATGGGTAGCCGTAGTGTGCAGGGAGACCGCCCGGACGACTGTGACGCTGAACCTTACGGAACGTGTATGCATTGGGGTTCAGCGCGTGCCAGTCTGTACGTGGCGTGTTGCAGGTTACTGTGATGGCTGTATCCCGCCAATCTGTGTGGATTTACTATAGGTGGCGTGATTTTTCGAAATGGGAAGGAAAAATGTCGAATGGTCGCTGTTTAGACGACGACTACACCATAGCTTAGTGGTGGAGCATGGCTGGCCATAAGCGAGGGTCTCTGGTTCGAGTCCTGGTGGTGACAGTCAATCTTTTCTTCAGACTTTTCCCGTTAGTGTCTTTCCCTCAAACTAGTGAAGATTTTATGACTTGGGGCTTCCCGCGTGCTAGTTTGTACGTGAAGTGTGTGGGTTACTGTGATGGCTGCATCCCGCCAACCTATGTGGATTCACAGGTGGCGTAATTTTTTAAAGTCGGAAGAAAAATGTTGAACGGTCGCTGTTTAGATGACGACTACACCATAACTTAGTGGCGGAGCATTGCTGGCCATAAGCAAGAGTCCCTGGTTTGAGTCCAGGTGGTGACAGTGATTGTTCTTCCAGACTTTTCCTGTTTCAACTCCCTCAGACATGTGAATATCCATCTGGCAACAGAATGTTATATTCATTTTATCCATAGTCCTTTATACTGAACTGCTTCCAGGACCGCCGGAAGCTGTTTTCAATTGGTCCAGTCGTACGGTCTCGTACCACAGTCTTTCATACTTTGTGAGCAATATGGCGGGGACGCGTGCCCTTCTCAGCAGTGAACATGCGTTGGTACCTACAAAGTTGGTCCGGTGTTAACCTGACCAACCGGACCGGTTCCGGCGGGCCTGGCTTCATTGAACAGTTTACACTGGAACATTATCACCTACTCGTATCCAACCATTTGCTGTCCTTGACTGTTCGCAGAACGTCGACATTCAGAACTTTCATCGTAGCTGGCGCAACGGAATTGCCTTCTGCGCACTGCTGGAACATTTCCAACCAGGCACCATTGACGTGGCCTCGCTGGATCCAAACAACATGGTAGGAAATAGCAATGTGTGCACTGCTGTAGCCTCAAGCTCCAGCACTGTATAGGCCAGTGTTATTTATTATATTTACCCCCCCCCCCCTCCCCCCCCCCCCTTTAAAGGGGAAGTCCGGTGAAAAATTTAAATTTCACAGTCCGTAGAGTTCGGGTCGCTGAGTCGAATGGTCTTTGTCCGAGGAGGCTGCGGCTTATGGTTCGTCAGATACGCCCAATCGAACATGTGCGAATTTGAGCGCGCATCACCCAGATCCAGGTGATGACGTCACAGCGTGCAGCCAGGTAGCCACACCATCTAGTTGTGTACAAAAATGGCCATATTCGGAGCGCGTTCGATTGGGGAACCGTTTGTCGCAGCTTCTTCGGACCAAGACCATTCGATTCAGTGTTACAAACACTACGTACTCTGTGATTTTCAGCTCGGTAAACCTCGAGGTTATACCGTATTTTAGCCGTTTCCGATTTGGACTTTTTCCGTCAGCCTCTACGCGCTGTGCGCTGCGTGCATGCAGAGATTGCAGTGCGTGCAGTGTGTTATCTTGCTGTAGTAAAGTCAACAAACTCATCACAGACGGAACTACTCCCGCACTGCCGTGCTGGGGTAGTATCTACAACAAGACTCGAGTCACTGACACAAGACTCAGAAAACTAGTCAACACACGGACTTGTCATGTACTACACTCGTATCAGTCGTATTGTACAGTCATGTAGTCAGAGAACGTGCGTTTCTCCTTGCCGGTGCCGGTGATTGTGCTTTGAGAAAGAAAATTACTTTTAGTTTTCCGCTCCCGCCTCATTATTTTATGCTACAGCGATGAGTGCACAACCGTGACAAGTGACAAAACAGCGAACAGCTCCCGGACCTAGAACTTTCAGATTCCATAGCGTTGCGAGCGAAGAGTCGTGCCCGTGGTTCAAAGAGCCTGCACTGTTCTCCAATTGAGTAGTCCGAAATATTCCAAGTTCGCACCAAAACATCACCATGGCATGTGGCAGGCTACTGGAGTCTACGCGAATCGGTATGGAACAACATTTAGAGCACTCGCATCACTCTTCTCCATTTTGGCGACCCTGCTCTCCAGCGATCTGATAATTACATCAGCCTCGTCTGCAATAGCTGCTGCTTCTTCATCAGCGGGAAACTCAGTAGCGCTCACTCTTGACCGGCCCGCGCGGCCATTTCTTCAGCTGAATACCGAGGTTCTCAGCCCCAGACCGAACTCATGAAGGTCAGCCATGGCTGCATCCTCACTCTCACAAGGAGTTACAGGTCTTCGGGGTCGCTTGCACCAACTAATATCAGTCGCCAAATCATTTGAAATAGCACTGACACTATTGCTTTCACGCACTCCTTTTGACCTAGCTGCACGCTATGACGTTGCAGAGGGTGTGGCGCGGCCGCATGACGTCATGGCGCAGCCCCCGAAACTCAGTTTTTCAAACGGAAATATCTCGAGAACGCTTTGTCGGAGACACGTGGGACCAACACCATTCGACTCAGCGCCCGAAACTCTACCGACCCTGAAATTTAAATTTTTCACCGGACTTCCCCTTTAAATAAATAAACCCCCGATTAGGTCTAGTCACAATGAAAATGATATCCTGCACTACAGTGTCCTTTGCCACAATGTCCTGTGCCAAGGTGTCCTGCGGTGCAATGCCCTGCACCACAATATCCTGCTCCACAATGTCCTGCTTCACAACGTCCTGTGGCACAATGTCCTGCTTCACAATGTCCTGCTTCACAATGTCCTGCTTCACAATGTCCTGCTTCACAATGTCCTGTGGCAAAATGTCCTGTGGCAAAATGTCCTGTGGCAAAATGTCCTACCCAACAATGTCCTGCGGAGGGTAGGGGGTGGGGGTATCAGGGTCTTGGCCTCGCTTGCTCTTATCTCTGACAGTAAACGTTTAGTCTATACATAGCTGAGCCAGTGCGTGCATATACCGTCACACTGTGCTTGGTGAAATTCTAGCCCGTTCGTCTTTCGACGCAGCGTTCTTTGGCGCCTGAAAATACTATGATCGTAGAGACTCCATGAACATTCAGCTTGTGATGATTACAAAATGCAATAAGCTCTCTGGACACAAACGAGAGAAACTAGAACGCGTCAAGTATTTATTTATTCAGTGTTGTTGACATCCATTGCCTCTGCTAATTGCCTCTTCTCTATGTCGATGTCTCGCAGGCGTACAACTTGAATCTGGCATTCGACGAAGGAGAAAAGATAGGGATTTCCAAGCTCCTGGTACGTGTGTTCACGTGCTTACGTGTGTGCATGTGTCTGTGCACGCGAGCGTGGGCCTAAGTGCTGTAGTCGTAGTGGTGTGTTGAAGTCCAGACCCCATTATTACTAATTTATTAGTGCAGTGCATTGGTGTGCATTACAGGTCCTTGGGTGACTCGTTGTGTTTTGCTGTGCTCTTCTGTATACATGTGTACTATGTGCATGCGTGAATGCGTGTGTGTGTGTGTATGTGCATGCGTGTGTGTACGTGTATGCGTATACCTTTGTTTGTCCTTGTTTGCCTGCAGGACACCGAGGATATAGTGGAGATGGAACAACCAGAGTGGCACTCCGTAATGACGTACGTCTCTGCCGTCTATAACCACTTCCACCCCAAGAAGTGATTCGTAGTTCCAGAGCACCACTCTGCTGATGGCTGTTTGTGTACAGTACTTGTGTGTCTGGACAAGCCTCTCTGGTCTGATACATGACACCTGGTGACTTGTCCATTCTACGCTGTGATGTCCTGCTTCTCTCTACGCTGTGATGTCCTGCTTCTCCTTGCACGGTGATGTCATGTGATGTAATGCTGCCTGCACGATGATGTCACTCATTTGCCATGATGCCACCGGCATATGTCTTTTGTTACCTACATGACAATGATGATGATGTCATTGTATCCATGGAATGATGTCATTATGATTGAGTGGCCCTGTCATGATATTCGCACAGAGTCCGTTGCTAGTCTTGTCCTGCATCCCAGCAGATGTGTTACAGCTTCTCAGTAATCGACAGCAGCAGCGTGGTTACCAAATTGTAATGGCGATCATAAGCTCATCTTCCAGTGGCCGTTATGCCCTGGCTCCGGTGTTAGTAGTGCCTGTTGTGCCCTGGCGTCACCTCCGATGTTCTGCCCGAGTGACGCTACAGTGATGTATGTACGTTTGTGACCGTGCCAGCGGGTCCCTGGCAGTGCTATGCTACCTCGGTGCGCCCCCTCTCACTGCCTCATTGCCTCTAGCTTGACCGTGCCAGTGGGTCTCTGTCAGTGCTCTGCCTCGGATTGCTATCCCTGGGCCCTCATTGCCTCACTGCCTCACTACCTCTAGCTTGACCAAGCCAGAGGTCGCAGTAACACCAATGCAACGTTTTCGTCTGACACTCCTCACCCGAGACCCGAGATAAACTGTTTTTGTAACCGATGTGTTCTCCAAGTTGCCAGGCTGGATCCGCCGTACGCTCATGCGTGCAGCTTTGCCGAATCGCATCGCACCACACGGAGCCTCAAATACATCTTGACTTCAACGACATTGAACGCTTGACCTGACCTTGACCTGTTCCTTTTTGTTGTGTTTTGTGTGAACTGCATACATTTGTGAGATGTGCTCTTTTCTTTCTTTGTCCTTGTCGCTGCCATGTGTGGTGCTGAGTACCCCCCCCCCCCCCCCTACTGTGCGAGCGTACGTGTCGATGAACGTGGCTTGAGACTGCACTGAGGCTCGCATCACCCCGCCCCGAACACAGCACTTGACATGCACGGCCGATGTTTGTATATGCGAGTGTGCACACTGTGTTGAGTGTGCCACTCCGGTGCACACCCCCAGCCGAAATGACGACGTCCCATTATACAGCGAACGGAGTGCGTCCACCATCGGCACCAGTTTCGTCCTGTGCCCGCGATCATTGCCGGATGTACCACAGCTGTCCATTACGTGTCCCCATCAGAAGTTTAGTCTGCCCTCAACGGATATAGAGATTGTCATATATACTCGTTTACACACCGGATTGAACTGCTCCCTATCTGATATTAGAACTGTAGCATCCGTCATTATTATAGTCGCTGCCATAGTTACATTTAGTAGAGATACTAGCCGCCAGCCCTATACCAGTATATTCTCTGTCAGAACCGGGCCCATGCCTGCTCTCTTCAATGTCGTATCTATTTTGTTAACGATGGTGTCGTTGTTTTCACAGTGTGATGTCGTCGATCCATGTAAAAATCATTATTAAACTGACTGTCGCACCAGTATAGTCGTGTATACGCGGCCGAGCTAGCTCGAGTGCCGCCCTAATAACTTATGATTTGTTTGTTGTTTGTTTGTATTGTTTATTTAGAGTGATGATGATCATTGAATTAGCTAGACTGTTTTGACTAGAGACTATGATGCGGCAACAGAGTTGAGTGGCATGGCACTGCCCGCCGCACCGTGACTGAGTATACTTTGAAGTAGAGTTGAGTGTGCGTGTGCAATGTGTGCCTACGCGAGTCGTTTCCTGCTCTTTTGTTTTCATCATCACCGGCGGCTCGGTGTCGGATCACTGAGCCGGCCCGTGGCGGGCCCGGGTCAGTGTTTGCTTTTTTACTAGGGGTCAAACGGGTGTACCTTTAACTAACGAACGGGTAAATTTCTTAACGGGCGGGTTAACGGGTACCCTTTAGCAGCCATATTATTTTTTTGCGCATTTCTCACATAAATCATGATTTTAATTTGTATATTCTCAGGTTGTATTTTGATACTACATCAGAGACTAATTTACTTCAAAGAAATTGCGTAGCAATCATTGCTACACACCCCGACGTTTGTATAGCAACGCAACAATTTTGAATAGCAGTTATTTTTCCCTCGACAATTCAGTCTTCAGTGCACTTCCACTTATACCGTCAACGAACGCCGTGCTGTAATTTATCAAACCACGCAGCGAGGACGCCTTCTCCCTGCACATCTTGCAAAATATCTTGGTCACAGCTTCACCACTCGACTCTGGGCGAATCCATTCTTTTTTGGGATCAAATTCAGCAATCCACTTGTCCACAGTATCTTGCTTCACAGACATGCCGGCAGTGAAAAGGATTCATCGATAAGGCAAGCAGAATTTTACAAAGATAAGTCCTGAGCGGTCGAGACGCCTACTGCTAGTGAAGGAACGCGGTCTAAATCTCAAAATCAGGTGAAGTACTTGTCGACACTCGCCTCGTTCTTCCTGGGCTGCACTTCAAGTAATTTTAGTTAGTTAGTTTCCAAGTGCACATGCTGCAGTGCGCGCGTGGAGAAAGTGCGACATATGGACATGGTCCTGCAGCCGGCGCGTGCGTAGTGTGTAGAATCTACCTACAGCGCTGCAGTGCAGGCTGGACAACCACACACACAGTCCAATCTAGTCACAGTGCATGCCACGTTGCCGCGTGGCGCAAAAACGGGCACACACACTGTAAATGTAAAGCTACACATGTGCATGCGCTACGCGTGCACTGTTGTGTCGCAGTTTACCGTGACTCACTACGAACTTCGAATCGCAGACACTGTGTTTTGCGTCGCAAACTGCGAAGCGATACTGGTTAAATTAGTCCCTGTGTAACATTATGATTCGCAATTGATTCGTGTATCATAATATTATTATGGCAATGAAGGTTCCAAATGAATGTCATCCGTGCATTTGCCCATGTACATAACTTCACAGGCAGTAACTTACAATCGTACATGTAGATGGTCCTACAAGCTACATGAATTTTGATACATGTACGCAAATCAACTGCAGATGATGTGATTCAAGCCATGCAAGGACAGAGTGGTTTAGCAAAACTTCCGTGATCTCGCGCAATCCTATTTGCTATGTTCGCAGAAAACTGGTACTCGTTGCATTCAGAAGATGTTCGCGCCCATAGCTAGCTGGGGTGCCTGACACAGCTGATGTGCTACTGGCCAGCTAGCTGCTAGTGCTAGCTTGTTGAACTCGTGAAATGAATCTTCACAAATCCGTAATCTTGTATGCAATATTTCGAACTACTTTTCAGCTCGTCTATTGAAGGAACAAACTACAACCATGAGTATCATACATGTAGCTACCACCTACGGACATCACCGTTTGTGACACTCCGACTGGTCACTCAGTCTGGTGACACTAGCTCATCAAGTACTGTGGCAGGTTCGATGTCGGAGAACCATCGTAACTTTCTAGTTACTCAGCTGCCACCTCGAACGAGTTTCAAGTCTTGCATTTTCTCACATCACAATCAAAAACCTCCAGTACGAGGATTTTTACTTGCACTAGAGTGGAGAGAACAACTGTCAAGTCTGTCTTTCAGCCTGCTCCTGCCTGATAAAGTCGAAAGCGGGAATGCACAGGAAAAAGGAAAAGAGTATCCGCACTCCTATTTTGAGTCTTGGAATACGATAGGATCCCTTTTTTTTTTTTTTTTTTTTTTTTTTTTTTTTTTTTTTTTTTTTTTTTACAAGCGGGTACCCTTTTACTAACGGTACCTGAGATTAACGGGCGGGTACCCGGGTACCCGGTACACCCGTTTGACCCCTATTTTTTACTGCCACGGTCTCTTTACCCTTGCACAATGTATGCGTATAATACTGATAAAAGTTAACAGTGACCAAACTCGCAATGTGCAGCATACGCTCTGATCCGCAGTGCGTGTGTAGACAAGATAAAGAGTGTACCGGAGCATAACCAATGACGGGTCGTTGATCCCGGGGTTACGGGGTAGGGCTGGAGGGCCTCAGGGGAAAAGATATACAATGTAGTTTACGCACACGCACGCGTGCGTGGACGCACATCCTGTTTCGTAATTCAGTGGTACATGTACTGAGCCTCCAGAGTCATACTACAAGAAGTGTCCACCAGGGGGGGGGGGGGCATGATGGTACTAGATCTGACAGGGGAATCTTGAAGACCAGACTCCGGACCAGAGCTAGAGCAGTACCGGTATAAATACAATGTATTTATCGTGACCGCAAATTATACTGTACGAGTGTAGACTGTAGTACTATCGGTATGTCCTACCCGCTCCCTACCCAGGCCAGGCAGGGAGTTTCGGCTGCCTTTTTCTGGCCCAGACCACCCACCATGTATAAAAAATCATGTTCAAAGTCATGACCGGCCAGGGCTTTTAAGACTCCCTGGTATACATGGTCATGACTGTACTGATCAGGGAGTCGTAAAATAGGTATTTTACGACTCCCTGGTACTGATGTAGCTCATGACATGATGCGCCATGGCGGCGCAAGGTCACTCGCGCATACGGCATAGGTCGTTTCCTACCTTTTTCAAGTTTTTGAAAGTACATGTACAGTATTTTCTCTTTGGCCATTTGGATATGGCTGGCTTGTGAGTTGTGGAAAGCTGTCTGGAAAGGGGGAAATAACGAACGAAGAGAATAGTTTTGTGCTGAGTTGAGAATCGTTTCCCCAAGAGCAGCCTGCAACCTAGAAGAAACCATAGCGTCAGGCTGTCATCATGTCCGATTTGCTATCATGGAGTACGCTTGTGCACGCAACGGCTGGAGCTGCGGTCAGTCGAATCAAAGAACTAACTTGAATTTTGAGATTTTTTTACATTGTAGATTAGGGGCGTAGGAGGGGTTTTGGAAGTGGTACGACCGAAGGCCGTGTTGGGGGGGGGGGGGTCGGGGGGGACCTCCCCGGGAAAAATTTGTAAAAAAGACACAAAATCCTGCGTTCTGGGAACTTCTGGCACACTTCTGGCGCAGTGTGCAGTCGAGTCGAGTACAGTACTCAGTACGACTGCAGCTGCATGGCAGATCTACGTACGAGTAGATCTACGAGTCTAGAAAAAGGTCAAAGTCTGATGTGCATATGCATCGATGGATCCTGATTTTTTTATTACGGTTTTGCACGTTGCGGACGGACCACACTTTTCGAAAAGTGGTACGGCCATGGTCGTACCAGTCGTAGCGGGTGCTACGCCCCTGTAGATCTACAAGGTTTTTTTGAATTTTCCTGTCTCCGGTGTTGTGTTTGAGTGCGTCCCTTCACGACTTACGATACTCAAGAGCAAATTGCGCACACTCTAACCTACCCGGACCTGAACAAAGCCTCTCACAATATTCCACAGATTTCTGATCTCAGGTGGCATTCACAGTGAGATTTGAACAGTCTACATTCGGCTCTGGATGTACCGAACACCAATTATGTACAAGAGCATTAGTTCTTTATAATTATAGCCAATTCATTGTACAGTTCTGGCCAAAGAAATCCAACCTCATGAATAAAATAGCGCCGGGCGCTACACAGCCCTAGTCACGGTTGTCCCCCACTCTCCGGAGCACTGTGGGTTCTGAGGGCATGTTCGATTGGTAGGATCGGGATCCCGCTCCACCGGATCCACTGGATTCGCACCCTTTCGATTGGTCGAATCCGGATTCGGATCCTTTGGATTTGGATCCGGTCAATCTACCTCGGGAAGCAGGGTTGACCGGATCCACCGGATCCAAATGTGACCTTTGTGCGTATATGGCGGGTAAAAATCATTCTTGTACACATTCTTGTACACATTGTGGTACGCACACGTGGATGGAGATAGACCTTGTTGACTTTTTGTACGACGCACGCGATGAGTACGACGTTCGTAATAAACATTAAAAAAAAACTGTTTGCTACGAATGGTCCATTTTGTACGGGTTTGGACGTGGACAATGGTTCGCTATCTCACGAAATTTGCTACGAAATTTGCTACACCCGAGTTCGTTATAATTATGTACCTGGAGTTGCCTGTATACTGTAAAAGCCATATATATAACGAAGTGCTAACTCTACCGAATTAACGAGGAGAAATCTGTCGTTAAAATAGAAATCGTTATACGTATACTGTAGTGGTGAAACGAATATCAAAGCCCAGTAGCCGAATATTCTTCGGCTTAACGAACGAACGAACGAATATTCTTTCGTTAACACGGATGACATCACATGCCCTCCTCTCAGTCATTTTATTGGATATTGTCGCTATGATTAGGCATGACGAACGAAGGCATGTACATTGTGTTGTATTTCTCCATCATTTCTAGGTCATTTTTCACAAAAATCCCCAGCTGAAGTGCCTTTCACAGGCTCAAAAAACAGCTTGAGACGTGATTTTCGTTCGAGCGCCATACCTTCCCTCCAGGACCTCGGATTGCGTTCGGGTGGCTTCTAAACAACAGCTGAGAGTTTGCTAATGCCGATAGATCTTTCAATGAAGCGATTCGGTCAAGTATTCACGAAGTTACGAAAGTTTGAAGTCGCCCGGTTGATTCTGCATACCGGGTTAACGAATATTCGCCATGAGAAATATTCGTTCGAATGTGTCAAACCGAACGAATATTCGAACATTCGGTATATTCGTTTCACCACTAAATTATACTGTCCTATTGAGCGTTGAGAATGAGTGAGAATCGTTACCTTTGCTACACGTAAACTAGTCAATTTTAGTAAATCGTTATATATGCGCCTCGTTAGAATAATGGCTTTTACAGTATTCAGTTGGACCCTGTGATATCGCAACCCATGCTGGTATCAAATAGGCGGTCAGCCTTTGGGTCATCCTAATAAAGTTATCATTAAAGTATTACATTGTCTGAGGATGGGGGGGGGGGGGGGGGGAGGGGTACATGTACCTGCAGTTGGATCACGGGATAAGGACGAATATGTTGATGCCGTCAATCCTTTTTATTCACTGTGCCCTCACCCTTCTACTGTGTTATGGTGAATGCGTACTTGAAGTGGAGAAGTTGGATCATTGCTAGATCCTTTCCAGGGGCGTCGCACACGGTACGGTCACTACGGTATTGACCGTACCACTTTTTGCCCCAGATACCCCGTGAATCAACAAAATACACTGATCTGGGATCTAAAATTCCAAAATGTTCGGCTCAGCCACCACTCCCCCACGAGTAAATTGTACTTCAGATAGCTGACCGTACCACACTAAAATACCTTCCGACATCCCTGCTTTCAAGTCCACCCAGAGTCACAGGCTGGGTGTCCAAGGGGGTGTCCAAGTTGGTAGTTCCATGGCCAAGTTTACCAATGTACGTGTGTGTGTGTGTGTGTGTGTGTGTGTTTGTGTGTGTGTGCGTGTGTGGGCGTGTGTGTGTGTGTGTGTGTGTGTGTGTGTGTGTGTATGTGTGTACACTGGTACTGCTCATGTGTTGCATTATTATCCTGCAGGGCAGCGTCACGGCAATGACCACATTCTTTCCTTTAGACACAGCGAGAACTAGACTGCAAGGTGAGAATTTCTTCTTTACGAGAAAGCGAACTTTCTCCGATTGTGGCCATCGTTGCACCATCTTCATCCCTTTTGAAGAAGTTTGTTCGACTTTTGAATGCTTTTGGGTATAATTATGTGTGTGTATGTGTGTTTGTATGTGTGTGTTTGTGTTTGTGTGT